CGGGCGGGCGGGCGGGTGCGTGTGTGTGTGTGTGTGTGTGTGTGTGTGTGTGTGTGTGTGTGCGTGTGTGTGTGTGTGTGTGTGTGCGTGTGTGGTGTGTGGCTGCTCGTGTCCCCGCTTGCCGACCCGGCCGACCCCGCGCGCGTGCGCGGCACGCCGGGCCCGCTCGGCTGCTCTGCCCTGCCTTCGCTCGCCCTGCCTGCGAAGCCCCCCCCCCCCTCTCGCACGCTCGTGCGCACGCCCCGGCGCGCTCCTGCGCAGCCCGCCACCTTCCGGAGGGGGAAAGACACACAGGCACAGCCCAGACATGCTCGCGCCGTGGCACAAGTCAGGACGGCAGGTTTTGGGCCAATTTCGGCCTCGGGGGGCCCTCGCCTGGCCTCGGGAGCGTCAAAAAACAACTCAGGACGAAAAACCGGTCCCGGGGAAAGGGTCGAGACTTCCAGGGACGCCGTCCTGAAAAAATCAGGACGTCGCATGTCTGGGAATGAATCGTTGACCCCCAAGGGAATATGGGGAAGTAGGGGAAGTGGGGAGGGAGACGAAAGCCCAGAACGTATGGGAAAATGGGGGGAATCCTGTTGTTTGTGTGTGTGTGTGTGTCCCTGGGCCCCTTTACATCTGCAACGTAGGATTGTATTGGCGCTCGAACGCTCCCCGCTGCAGCCCTCGCCGTAGTGACAACACTCGGCCGCGGAGAAACACACACACACACACACACCTGCACACACAGTGTACATACTCCAGATCTCCTGGCAGGTCCATGGACACCTTCGTTGCGGCGGCGCTCTTCGTCGCGATCGGCATGGGCGCCCTCGCGCAGGCCTGCGGCCTGTCCAGCGCCACCGGTGCCTTCGCGGCAGGCGTGCTTCTGGCGGGCACGGACTACAGGGCGCAGATCCAGGCGGACATCCGCCCGTTCCAGGGCATCCTGCTGGGCATCTTCTTCATGACGGCCGGGGCCGGATTGGATCTGGCGCTGCTGTTTCAGGAGTTGCCGACGGCGCCCAGACCCAAACATGACCGCGCCGTGAAGGAATCTGGACGGGAGGTGTTGCCCAATGTTCGGCCCCCAGGGGGGCCCTCGCCGGGCCCCGCGACCGTCAGAAACAACTCAGGAGGAAGAGCCGGTCCTGGAGGAAGGGTCGGGATTTCCGGGGACGCTAGGCTGAGAACATCAGGCCGCGAAACACTTGCAGACAGTCGGCTCGAGGTATAAGATCGAGGTCGGCCAGGGGAGGATGCCCTGGTGTTCTTCGTGCTTATGGGATGCTCTCGGGCACCCTGGGGAGGGTACCCTTGGATGTTCTGTGTGTGTGTGTGTGTTGGCCGAGGGAGGGTCTCATGTTCTTGAGGGGTGTTTTTTCCTGGCCTGGGCCCGACTGCATAATACCGCGCAGAGCGTGTGAGGGCGGCAGCGCTCGTGGAAGGAGTCCGTGCGGACCTCGTGCGTTGCTGTTCGTGTATCGTTTCGCTTCTCGAGGTGCTCTCACTGGTTGGCTCCCTCATCATAGTAAAGGCTGCTGCGCTGGGGCTCATCATGCCGTTCACCTCGCTGAATGTAAGGGACTCGGCGCGTATGAGCATCCTGCTCGCCGGCGGCGGCGAGTTTGCCTTTGTGGTAATAACCCTGGCGAAAGACCTCGAATTGCTACCAGGCGGGCTTTGTAATATTCTGATCGCGGTGGTGATCCTGTCGATGTCTCTGACTCCATTTCTTGGTCAGGCTGGCGACGCCCTCGGCCAGTGGTTGCAGGAGTCAGGGGCAACGTTGTTAGGGCGAGATATGCTCAGGGGTGGATGCATCGACCTCGGATCGCCGATTCATTGCAGATAGGGGCCCGATAGCCCACCCCGCCCTGGAACGTGCGGATTCGCTGTCGGGGGCTTCTCGCTGATCTATCGGCGATGTATCGCCGATTCCAGGTCGGTGCTCCCTCCCCCTGAGCACCGCCCCCCCCCCCCCCAACGTGCCCCGTCACGGAGGCTGCAGCGCGAGGCCCAGTGTCCGAGACCGGTGCCCCGCAGCAGCATGCCGACGACGACCCGGGGCACGACGAGGGCCTCGACGACGCGAGGGCCGACGGCATCGTGGTCTGCGGCTTCGGCAACGTTGGCCAGGGGATCTGCAGGGTCGTCTCCAAGAATATGGAGGCACTCTTGAGCATCTTCTTTGGCTTAGCGTGTCGCTTCGCCAGTTCTGGCCCACCACCACGTTGCGGCGCGACACGTTAACCACTTCGCAGTCCCCAGGCGCTCACGTCCCGAGATTTTCCCAGCCGCCCGCCCCGCGGAGCGGAGCGACACAATACGTAGCACCCCGCAGTTGCTGATAAGAGCGATGGGGGCGGCGGAGACTTCTGCAGTCTGCGAGGCTCTGAAGAAGCCCGCCGCAGGCGCCTAATTTTTACAAATCATATAACGGGCCCGCCGCAGGCGCCGATTTTTCGTTACAGCAATGTGGGTGGGTCGCGGGGTGGGTCGCGGGAGGGTCGCGGGTGGGTCGTGGGTGGGTCGCGGGTGGATCGCGGGCGGGTCGCGGGCGGATCGCGGGCGGGTCGCGGGGGGAGGGGTCGCGGGTGAGTCGCGGGTGTGGCGCGGGCGGGACGCGGGGTGGGTCGCGGGTGGATCGCGGGCCGGGTCGCGGGGGGGACCACGCCAAACAAGAACAGCAACAATTACAACAACAGCAACAACACCACCACCAACAACAATGATATTCATAATGCTAATAATATTAATATTAGTAATAACAATGATAATAACAGCAACGATCATCTTAATTTTGCTCGCTCTTTTGTGCTCGTGTGCCATCCAATACGTATATCCCGAACCTTTGGTATCCGCCGTCTTCGTCTTCGATCGTACCCCTTTGGAAGTGTATCTTTCTTACCTGCAGCGTGTATTTCGTGCGCCCCCTACGGCAGGGGCAAGAGAGGACGGATGTCAGAAAAATGACAAGGGGATGGAGCAGGAGAGGGAGTAGCAGGAGAGGGGTTTGGAGCAGAAAACACTTGGCAGAACCAGGCGGGCAGATCGGGCGGGTAGACCCGAACGGGCGGGTCGGGAAGGCGGGCCTAGGCGGCCAGGTCGAGCAGGCGGGTTGCTGAAGCGTGCGTCTTGCATGAATCGGGAGGAAGTTTCGAGCGATAGCGCGCTTCCCAAGTAAATCGTAAGGAAATCCACAGCGAGGGCGTGATTCCTGAGTGTCGAAGGCGCGACGCCTGAATAAGTTGCGAGGAAGTATCATGCGAGAGCGCGATTCTTTGATACATTGCAAAAAAGTCCCCCGCGGGAGCGCGATTTCTTCAGTACATTGCGAGGAAGTATCAGGCGGGAGCCGTCGTTGTTGTAGTTCGGGGGCCCAGTGTGAGCACCAAGACTTTTCTTCAGGTGCGAGCCCTGGGATGGACACTTCAATGGACAACACATATGTTACCGGAGGGGGGATCAACAACAATTATTATCCAGAAGTGATTGTCCACCAACAACAAAACTCATTTTAAGCTTGTTCGCTCGTATTTGCTCGCGTGCCATTCAACATGTCTACCCCAAACCCTCGATACCCACCCTCTTCGTCTTGGATCGTAACCCCCTTGGGGGCATATCTTTCTTGCCTGCAACGTGCATGTCGCGCAGCACCTGAGGCAGGGGGAAGGGGGGACGGATGGAAGGAAAGACAAGGGGGAGAGGGGAGGATGGAACGCGAGAGAGAGTCGCAGGAGAAGGGGCTAGGAGCAGAGAGAACTTCGTAGAACCAGGCGGGCAGATCGGGCGGGTAGACCCTAAGAGGCGGGGCGGGCCCAGGCGGCCAGGTCGAGCAGGCGGGTTGCTAAGGCGTGCGTTCTGCATGGATCGCGAGGAGGCCTTGAGCAGCAACGCGATGCCAAAATGAATCGCGTGAGGGAATTCGGAACGGGAGCGTGATTCATGGGTGTGGACGGCGCGGCGCCTGAATCAATTGCGAGGAGCTCCCAGGCGACAGCGCGATTCGCTGAGTGTCGAAAGCGTGACGCCTGAATAAGTTGCGAGGCTGTATCAGGCGAGAGCGCGATTCTTCGAGACATTGCAAAACAAGTCCCTCGCGAGAGCGTGATTCTTCAACACGTTGCAAGGAAGAATCAGGCGGGAGCCGTTGTTGATGTAAACCGGGGGCCAGGGGCACAGTTTTAGCATGAAGGTTTTTCTGGGTAAAAACACAGTGAGCGCCGGGAGGGGCATTTCAATTGAAAAATATTTATGTTACGCGAACGCGTGGGCCCTGCATCATTCGCCAGGAAATATCAGGCGAGAGCGCGATTCCTAAGTAAATTAAAAAGGGAATCCCAGGCGAGAGCGCGATTCCTGAATGGCGAGGGCGTGGCGCTTGAATACATTGCGAGGATGTCACAGGCGACAGCGCAATTCTTGGATACATCGCAAAGTAGTCCTTAGCGAGAGCGCGCGATTCTTCAGTAAACTGCGACGAAATATCCAGCGGGAGCCGTTGTTGTTGTACTCCGGGGGCCTGGGGCGCAGCTTGCGCAGGAAGACCCTCCCCGATAAAACGCAAGGTGCGAGGCCCAGGAGGGGCACCTCACTTGAAACCAGCTCGTACGTTACCGGAGGGGGGATCAACAATAGTTATTCTTCAGTCGTGAGTTCAACAACAACAACAAGAACAACAATCACAACAACAACAACAACAACACCAACAACACCAACAACAACACCAACAACGGCACCAACAACGGCACCAACAACACCAACAACACCAACAACACCAACGCCAACACCAACAACAACAAATCAATTACAACAACACCAACACCAACAACACCAACAACACCAACGCCACCACCACCAACAACAACAACAGCAACTACAACAATCACAATCACAGCACCAATCACAACAATAACAACAACAATAATTCGCATCGTGGAATCCCACTCCAGCCAAGCACCCAGGGACAGTGAATGACCGTTCGGCCCCCTCACTCTGATTATCTTGCAGTGCATAGCGTGTCGCCGGGGCCGCCACCGCGACAGGCTAAGCATCAATTCCCGACCGTAATTACCGAAGCCGCTACTTCCACGTCGCTGGCGAGATCCTGGGGACGGTGTTGGTGGTCAAACACCGGGCAGGTGGACGCGATAAGTGCGGCCACCGAGCACATCCCCAGTGTTTGGCCGGCGACGCGGTAAGAAGTGGCTTGCCGGTCATACCGTGCATCGACCACCTCTTGCACCGTTTTTTTGCACACACGCTTCTTCGTCTACGTTTTGGCCCACCTTCCCCCCAATGTAACGTTTGCGGCAAGGGGGAAGCAGGAGTGGGAACCTCCCAGGCCATTGCACCGACGAGCTGCTTCGGCGACCCCAGGCCATGGCCAAGAGCAGTCTGTGGGCCGGGGGGGGGGGAGCGCACGACAAACACCCACAGCAGACGCGAAGCACAAGATCTGTAGCACCGGGTGGTGCCACGTGTTGCCCACGTGCCAGATTTCCATTGGGCGCCGAGGGCTACCGCGGGCCCTTCGTCTGCTTCGACCTGAATCCGGCCCGCATCGCGGAGGGCGCGCTGAGCGGGCAGCCCGTGGTGTACGGGGACGGCGCCAGCCCGAAGGTGCTCCGGAGCGCCGGCGTCGTCAAGCCCAGGGTGATGGGAGGACAGAGCAACTCCGGCTCGTTCCTCCTCCCCCCATACCACCCCAGAACGAGGAGAATACGCAGTCGGAGGAGGAGGAGGGGGGGGGAGGGATGCGGCAGGAGGCTGGCCTCTTATCCCCGTCCGTCCCCGAGGTGATCATCATGGCCTACAACAACCTGAACGTCCGGCTCGCGGGCCTCCGCCAGCTGCGGCTCGCGTTCCCGGGCGTGCCAATCAGCTCGGGCCTGCGGAGCCCGCGCGGCCCCTTGGATCGCGGCCCCCGAGCGAGGGGTGCGCCAGGCAGGCCCAGGGTGAGGTGCCTTTGCGGCGGCGAGCGAGGGGGGGGGGGGAGTGAGGAGGAGGAGGGAGGCTCTCTCGGAAGGCGGACGGGCTTCTCAGACGCCCGCCCGCCTCTGGGTCTTCGGGGAAGGCTTCGAAAACTTGTTCTGAAGGTTCTGGGGAGGCGCGCCCCTTTCCACACCCCCCATCTACCCACCACCAGGCTCGCCGCCGAACCGTCACGCCAGAGAAAGCCCCCACGTGCTGTTCGCGCGGAGCGCACCGAGCCATCGCAGCGTCTCGCGGGCCCTCAGGGCTCACCCTGGAGGCCCTGCCCGGGGCCCCCTGCAGCAGGGCCTCGGCGGGAGCCCCGGGGAGGCCCCGACGACAAGCCTCGGCCCCTCCCTGCCCTCCGCGGAGGCCCGCCCTGGTGGGGGCGCCGGGAAGCGCGTCTCGACCCACCCTCCTCCAAGAAGGGCCCCCTCGGAGGGAGGTTGCTCCGAGACTCCTCCTCCTCCTCCTCCTCCTCCTTCTCCTCCTCCTCCTCCTCCTCGACGGGCTCTCTCGCTTCTCGGTGAGCGTCCGGGGAGGGGGGGGCGGGGGGCGTCGCCCCCGCCGACAGTCCCCACTCTCGACCCCCGGTCGCGGGCAGCCGCCGCGCCCCGAGGGCGCTCCGGCCCCCGTCGCGGCGCGACGGCGAGACGAACATAACATGCTATTTGAGTTATTTTAACATACTATTTGAGTTTTAATAGCATTAAAAAGCTACCTGTTTAGTCTTGATTAACTTGTACATACGCCCAAACAACGTCTTATAGACTGCGAATTAGAACGAAGATAGCCATGCTTATTGGATTACGCATCATATACTTCACGTGCAACTCATACAACTCAGACAGCGGAGAACGCGCATTCCAGTGGGGGAGGGTCCCCCCCACGCTTGTTAAATTAAGAAACCCAGAGTCGGTCGAAGCTCTGCGGTAATTGAGCGACGTCCAATCCAAACGCTCAAACGCCCATCCTCGTCTGAGGAGAAACGATTGGGCAGGACGCATTGTCGTTCTGCATGCACCCTTGTGGTGAGACCTCGTTTAATTGTTTGTTGTAGGCGGGAGCGTCCCTTCGAAGGGCAACAACAAAACATTAGCATTATGTTGTCGGGGGTCCGCGCATACAGTATGTCTTAGCTCTGCACTTGGCCCCCCTGGCTGTGAAGCGCGCCCTCTCTGCCGCTGAAAGCACGCCATGGAAGGGGGGGGCCCAACTGTCCGAGGCCCACAGGTTCAATGGTACAGTGGGCGCACGTTTGTAGTTTGCATGCGGATGTCCCGAATGTCCCCATAGATGCCTTCCCAAGCGCCCCAAGACGACTTTACGCAGGCTCTTTGCCCAGCGCAGTGTGCGGTAGTCTGGAGCCCCACCGAACGGGGGGCCATGGTGGCGCCTGCTGTCGAGCACGCGCCCCCCCCCCCCCAGAGGGGGCGGTTATGTGGGGGCGCGGGAGGCAGGAGCCAGGATGCATATCTGCACCTGGAACTGGCAGAGCAGCGCTCGGACGTCGTGTTATGTCGGCGAGTGGTGGGCCGGCACTCCGGGCGGGTCGGCCCGCGATCCTCGGGCGCCCTCGGCTTCCGCAGGCCCGTCGTCTCGCGCGCCAGGCACCCGAAGGAGCGGGCGGCGCTGATAGAGGCGGGGGCCACGTCGGCGCCCCGCTCAAGGAGGCCGCCGATGGCGCCCGACGGCCGCCGAGGGCCACCGGAGTGCTCACGAGGGCCGCCGAGGGCCCTTCTGTCCTGCCGCTCCCGGCAGGATTCTGCTCGTCGGGAGGCCGTGGCCCCCTCGAGCAATAAGAAATCACGACGGGAGGTTTTTCGTCATTTTCAGCCTCCATGGGGGCCCTTGCCGGGCCTCGGGGCCGTCGAAAAACGGCTCAGGATGAAAAGCCGGTCCCAGGGAAGGGGTCGGAACCTCTGGGGGTCGACGTCATGAAAAAATCATGACGTCGGGGGTCTGGGGACCGTGGCCCCCCCACTGGGTCAGCGATCTGCTGGTCGGACCCGAGCCGGGCTGGTCGGCCGGGCCCCGGATCGGATCGCGGCGGCGCTGTGTGCGCGCCGTCGGTGTGGGCGTGGGCCCGCTGAGGCAGGATCGGGGCCGGGCCCCGAGGCTCTCCAGCAGTGCGGTCTCAGGGGTTCGTCTGTAGACCAGTGCTCCTCGCCTAGCGCAGACGTCCGGCGTCTCGAAATATCGAGGCGGGGGGGGGTCCATCGTTTTCGGCCTCCTGGGGCCCCTGCCCAGCCCCGGGACCGTCGGAAACCGAGTCGAGATAAGAAACGGGTCGAGAGCTCGGGGGCCCGTGTCTCGAAGAATCGAGACGCTGGATGTTTGGGAATGGGACTTGTCCTAGTGTGATCCCTTCCAAGTGTCGACACACTGTAGGGTCTGGCCCGATTCCCAGCATTGTCCGCCCATTCCCCGACCTCCTCGCCTGGGCGGCGGTCCGCCTTGAGGTCTGGATTTGTTCGGCACGGGCTTCTTTCTCCGGTGGCGTTTTCCTTCTTGCTTGAAGGAAAGGCTTCGAACTGCAGGGATCACCTCCTCCCCGCCCCCGTCTCGACTAGACCGTAAGAGAGACCTTTCGCTGGAGTGACTCTTGATGCGGGTCCAAGGAGGTCCCCCGATCGTCGAACGCGAAGCGGTAGCAGCGGCTTGCGCGCCCAGGTTGGGCCACCCTGCGTCTCCTGTTAAGCTGCGCGCCAAAGGTCACTCTTGCCTTAAGTCGGGCCTGTCCCTCTACAGGAGGAATTTCAAAAATTGGAAGAAATAGTATGGGGAAGATTTTTGTAGCATTGTTTATTATTTGGGGGTATGTTTTGAGTATTGTTTGTTTTCGCTCAAAATCCCCCTGTAGAGGGGCAGGCCCGACCTAACTCTTGCCTAGGGTCACTCTTGCGTGTCGCCGACTGCCCCCCTCCTCCCACTCACTCCGGAACTCTGGAACTCTACAAGGCTAGGCTGTGCTATCAGCTAGAGCACGAGCACAGCTTGCCCGAACCAGACGACCGCCAAGAGGTCAGGATGGACTCGCCTGATCATCCATCGCCTCTGGTGGGCGGTGCGTCCCTCGTCCTCACTGTTCCCCACCCCCTCCCCCCCAAGCCATCCCCCCTTCCCTCGATGGCCTTGCTGCGCAGGCGACTTCTCCTCCCTCCTCCCGCCCCTTCTCTCGATCCTCCGCCTCCTCCTCCTCCTCCTCCTCCGCCTCCTCCTCCTCCTCCTCCTCCTCCTCCTCCTCCTCCGCCTCCTCCTCCTCCTCCTCCTCCTCCTCCCCCTCTGGGGCCTCTGGGGGTCGGGAGGCTGCCTGACTGCATTGGATGCCAGCTCGGGCCAGCGGGTCTTCTGGTCCGTGGGAGCTCCTGTGGCAACCGCGCCATCCTGACCCGCGGTGCGCTCTTGGGAGCGAGGCCCGCAGCGGCGCTTCCTGCACGGCTTCCGGCGAGCCTGGCTCACCCGGCGGCTCCGCCGGAAGAGTCCCGAGCACCGGCGCCCCCACTCGGGATGCATCCTCACGAACCCTGACTCCAGGTCCGCCCTACTTTGGCGGCTTTTTTTCCAACTTAAAATTGCGTCGGAAATCTACCTAGAAGAGGCCGAACAAGTAGGGCGGAAATTGCTGCACCCAACATAAAATAGACGGACATCCACAGAAACAGCTACAGAAAAGTAGGGCGGAAATTGGCATCAGCGGGGCTTCAAAAGTAAGGCGGAAATCCCAAGCCCCACTTACGAATTTCCCCAAAGTAGGGCGGATCCGGAGTCAGGGAAGGCGGTCTCCCGGGCGAGCGGCCAAGACTGCCTACCGACACAGTCTCAGGCGAATCCCGCGCACGCCCCTTCGTCTTGTTGTAGAATTTCGGCGTCACCCCAACATACTTATACTATATATCTGCGTCGCCCCCCCAGGGGCGACACGCGCACCGAGGAATCTTATAGTATATGCGTCGTGGTGGGCGCTTTCTGGCCACACCGCTCGGGAAACGATATACTGCAAGATGGGTTTACTCTATGTTCGGGTCGGACGCGCGCCTCCAAGGAGGACATATAGTATTAGTATGTCCCTGTGCTTCCCATGGAAACTGCAGATCAACCGCAGAGCGGCCGGCCAGTCTGAGGTGCTCTTCGAGTCAGAGGAGGTGGCCGTCCAGCTGTCGCAGGCGGTGTTCGCCGAGATCGGCGAAAGGCTGGACGTCGACAGCGCGAGGCGGGCCATCCAGGACGCGGCGGGCCTGAGGGACGAGGGCTCCGACATAGAGGCGGACCTGGATCTGCTTGCGATGGATAGCGGCTTCTCCAGGCAATCGAGGAAGAACAAAGTGCATGCTGCATGCACATACATGGTCGAAACTCTTGCAGGTTTTTTGGATCGGCGCTGGCGCGCTCTGCGCGCCATGGAGGCAGGTCCGGCGTCGTTCCAAGAAGTCTGGGTGGACCTCCGAGAGTATCAGAGGGTGGGGGGCGAGATCGAAGTGGAACGCGGAGCCCCCAAACGGGAATCGGTTTCGCTTTCGGGCTTGTACCGCGCGTGCGGGCGAGGCGAAGCTGCGTGAGCGGGCGAGAGGAAAGACTTCGCTGTGGCTAGGGCGGGTCAAGAGTCGTTGACCGCCCCTTCTCCCTCCCCTGTGGGCGGGCGGTGGCCGGGTTGTCCCGCCGTGGTGTCCAGTGGTTGCCCGCCTCTTCCCCGCGGTGGGCGGGCGGTGGCCGGGTTGTCCCCCCGTGGTATCCCCTCGGTGTCCCGTCGGCTTCCCGTCGGTGTTTCGACAGTGTCCCGTCGGTGTCCCGTCGGTGTCCCGTTGGTGTCCCGTCGGGGTCTTGTCGGTGTTTCGTCGGTGCCCCGTCGGGGTCCCGTCAGTGTCTTGCGTGGTGCCCCCAATGGTGTCCTGTTAGTGTCCTGGTTGTGTTTCGATGGGTTCCTGGTGGTGACCCGTTTGTGTCACGGTAGGTTCGCCGATGGGTGTTCCGATGGTGCCCTGATGGTGTCCCTGTGGTGTTTGCATGGTGCCTTGGTGGTGGTGTACAGGTCGGTGTTTCGACGGGTGTCCTGATAGTGCCCTAGTGGTATCTGGATGGTGCCCCCATGTGTCCCCGATGTTGTCCCGTCGGTGTCCCGTCGGTGTCCCGTCGGTGTCCCGTCGGTGTCCCGTCGGGGTCCCGTCTGTGTCCCGTGGGTGTCCCGTCGGTGTCCCGTCGGTGTCCCGATCAGCGTCCCGATTGGTGTCCTCATGGTGTCCTGTTGGTGTGTCGATGGTGTCTCGATGGTGTCCTGGTGGTGTCCTGATAGCTGCCCCGTTTGGTGTTCCGATGGTGCCTTGATGGTGTCCCTGTCGTGTCTGCAAAGTGCCCTGGTGGTGTCCCGATCTTATCCATGTGGCTTCCAGCATCGCTAGTAGGATCGATGGTGAGACTTGGGGGATGATGTCGCAGAGTTCCCGATCTGCCAACGGTTCCTAATGCCACTATCATTAGTGATATCGAGTTTGACATCGGTAATCAGATTAATAGTGTGATCGATCGCGAGATCGATAATGGGATCGATAGTGAGATCGATAGTGAGATCGATAGTTATATCGATGGCCAGGTGGAAAGTGAGATCGATCGTAAGGTCGATAGTACGATCGGTCGTAAGATTACTAGTGTGAAATATAGTGAGATTGATTGTGGCATCGACAGTGATATCGATCGAATAGGATCGATAGTTGGGCCAATTGTTATAGCAGTATTCAGACGGATAGTTGCATTGATAGTGAGATCGGCAATGAGATCGATAGCGATATCGATAGTGAGACCGACAGTGCGATCGATGGTGAAATGTATTGGACGATCGATAGTGGGGTCGATCGAGTAATGCCGATAGTGGGATCGATCGTGGTATCGATCGTGAGGCCGATAGTGAGATCGATAATGAGATCGATCGTGAGATCGATAGCGACATCGACAGTGAGATCAATAGCGAGATCGATAGTGAGGTCGATAGTGAGATCGATAGTAACATCAGCAGTGATGTTGATAGTGAGATCGACCCTGAGATCGATAGTGAGATCGATCGTTGGATCGATGTCAAGATGGATTCAGTGAGACGCTGGTTCTGCTCCCCCCGGACCTCCGTATCACCGGAAGGTGGTCGTATCTGCTACCCTAGGCAAGAAGTCATCAGGCTTTACAGGATTTTCGAGAGTGCAGACCTCGACGGTAACGGCGAGATCGATCCCTTCGAGGCCGAGGAGATCATCGCCCGCGCCTCGGACGTTCCGATGAGCCAGGCGGATTTCCAGGAGTACATGCGCACCTTGGACGCGGACAACAGCGGCCGCGTGTGCTTTGAGGACTGGGGTGGGAATGGGAGGGTTCTGTCGCAGAGGAGGAGGAGGAGGAGGGCGAGGAGGAGGAGGAGGAGGAGGAGGACGATGATCATGCTTGGTGAGGCCTCGGGTTGCGCGCCTACAGCCCCGCCGCGTGGTCCCGGCTGGTCTCAGCAGGCCCCCCGAGTAGTCCGGGGCGGTCTCGATGGTGGTGATGATGATGCTGATGATGCTGATGATGATGATGATGATGATGATGATGATGATGATGATGAGGATGAGGATGAGGATGAGGATGAGGATGAGGATGAGGATGAGGATGATGGTGATGATGATGATGATGATGGTGATGATGATGATGCTGATGATGATGATGATGGTGATGATGATGATGATGATGATGATGATGATGATGATGATGAGGTGGTGAAGATGACCAAAGGGCAGGATCCCTCCCGTTCCCTCTCATGGAGGGGGCACCGCCCCCGGCGGCGAAAGCTTTGCTGCTCCTCCTCCGTGGCTGCGGCGGCCACGGAGCTGCGGCGGTTCGTTTTCTGCTGCCTGCCGTGATTCGCACGCTGCCGGGAGACGTAGCTCTGGCGATCTTGGGCCGCTCAAGAAATTGTCAGTCTTGGCCCCAGAGTTTTTTATATAAAAAACACATTTAAGTCTTGGACGCACATTACATTCAGGATGCATCAGCCATGCTGCAACCCTACCTTTCGTCCCGAATACACCCCTCCTAAACAACTTCTGCAGCCAGTCCCGCCGACAACGGAATGCGCCCCACTGAAAGGCGAGCGCCCCATGGGTCTTGCCATTCGAGCGAGGGCCCTATTGTGAAAATGACCTCCTCTCTTCCGTGGAACTGTTGCGCAACCTTAAAAACATCAACTGGCAGTTGTCCAGAGGGTCCCCATCGAGAGCTCCATTTTCTCCAGGCGCCTCCTTCTGCGCGTGTAAGTTATGGGGGCCTTGAGACGAGAGCTCGCGTCGCGAAAGCGATAACCATAGTTTTGAAAACAACCTCCTGCCGCCATCCGTATATCGATCGGGTACGTCCAAAGACGTACGCAGCGCGATGGCGATGGCAACACGCTGAAGACGGTTCGCGCTTCATCTGTGTGCCCGTGTTGGAAGTTTTGAAGACAATGTTGCACCATGCTGAAGCTAGAGGAACTTTCTGAAAACTATTCGCCCTCCGTTCTTGTGATATAAATGTTGAAAATTTCGAGCTTCGGGCCCAGAATTGTTGTGGAAGTCTCAGGCGGAACGCCCAGCCCGCGCTACGACACGCTCGGTCATGCGACAAAGAGCCCTTCCTCAGGGATAGCGTTGGAGGGTACATGGGAAGGCGGAGGAGAGGGAGGCTGAGGATTTGAAGGAGGAGGTGAAGGACGAGGTGTGGGTGGAGGGGATGAGGGAGGCAGGATGAGAAGACTCCCGTTGAGAAGGTGGTGATGTTTGTGGTTTGCTCCATTCCCCAGGGCGTCGTCGGCGTCGTGAAGTCGTGTGGAGGAGGATTCCGTTGATGGGAGCAGAGGGTGGAGGAGACCCAGACCCCCGACGTCATGAGTTCTTCATGATGTCGACCCCGAAAGGTTTCGACCCATTCCCCAGGACCCGTTTTTCATCCCGAATATTTATTTCGACGGTCCCGAGGACCAGTAAGGGCCCCCAAGGGCCGAAAATAGGGAAACACCTCCCGTCTCGTGATTTTTACATGACTCGATCGGGGCTTGGGGGGGGACGCCGCTAGACGACATTCACAACCGTGATCGCGTCCGCTGCCCTTGCTGCCCCCGCCCCCCCCCGAGGACGAGGACGAGGACGAGGACGACGAGGTGGATGAGGACGACGACGAGGACGACGACGACGACGGCGACGACGACGCACCAGTGGTCGCGTCCAATGCTCTTGCTGTGCCCCCGTTCCCCCCCCCATCAAAGGACTTCCCATCCATCGGTCTACGCCCCCCGCCTTCCCTGCCTTGCTGTGCCCCCTCCTCCCCTGCCCTTGGTGTGTCCCCGCTCCTCCCCCACCCCCCGTCGAGGACTTCCTCTCGGTCTACGCCCGCGGCTGTGTTCCCGGCCGCGTACGCTAGCACGGCCGGGCTGTTCGCGCACGCTAGAGTTCTGGCGCGCCCACGGCGCTTTGGTTTAACGTCTGCTGCAAGCGATCGATTTCCCTCTCGATCTTCCCCAGCACCCCCCTTCCCTCCCCAGACATGATCGTGTCGTCAAGATATCAGGACGGGAGGTGTTGCCATATTTTCAACCCCTGGGGGCCCTCGCCGGGCCCCGGGACCGTCCAAAAACGATTCAGGATGAAAAGCCCGTCCTGGGGAAAGGATCGCGGTTTCCAGGGACGACGTGCTGAACAAATCTGGACGTCGCGTGTCCGGGTCTCCTCCACCTCCTCCTTCTCCCCCTCCTCTTTCTCCTCCTCCTCCTCCGCCTCCTCCTCCGCCTCCGCCTCCTCCTCGCTTTCTCCCTCCTCCTGACCTTCCCTTCCTCCTGCCGTTCTTCCGTCTCGCCCTCCCTAAGTCCCATCGCTTCTCTGCTCTTGGTCGGCGGCGAGCACGTGGGGGGCGTGTGAGAGGGGGCGGGCCCTCTCGGAAGGCTCGGAAGTCCCCCCCGGCATCCCGAGAAGTTGCCTAAGCCTGGAGGGTTTCTCCGAAGGGCTTAGGCGACCCGTCCTCCTCCTCCTCCTCCTCCTCCTCCTCCTCCTCCTCCTCCTCCTCCTCCTCCTCCTCCTCCTCCTCCTCCTCCTCCTCCTCCTCCTCCCTCCTCCTCCTCCTCCTCCGTCCTCCCCTCCTCCTCCTCCCTCCTCCTCCTCCTCCTCCGTCCTCCTCCTCCTCCTCCTCCTCCTCCTCCTGCTCCTCCTCCTCCTCCTCCCTCCTCCTCCTCCTCCTCCTCCTCCTCCTCCTCCTCCTCCTCCTCCCCTCCTCCCCCTCCTCCTCCTACTCCTGCTCCCCCTCCTCCTTCCTCCTCCTTCCTCCTCCTCCTCCTCGGGTCGCCCACGGCCCCCGGGGGAAACCGTGCACCGAAGCCTTCCGCGAGGGCACAGAACGCTTCCTTGAAGGCGCGAGGGCTTCTGCGAAGTCCCGCCGCCCTCCTCCTTCTCACTCCCCCCCCTCGCTCGCCGCCGACCCGAATCCCACCGCTCTCCCTGGTCTGCGGGCGTCCTGTTACACTTCTCCGAGCTCGTTTCTCTCCTCCCCCCCTTTGTGGGCGTCCGCTGCCGACCCTCCCTCCGCATCGTCTCGGGAGGGGAAGGCACACACACACACACAGACACAACTCATCGTCGAGCCCCAGGAATACATGGGAAAATATGGGAAGTGGGGGGAAGAGAAAACCCCAGGAAATATTTGAAAATATGGGATTCCTGTTGCTTGTGTCTATTTATGTGTGTGTCCCAGGGCCCCTTCATCGTCGTTGTCGTCCTCCTCCCCCAGCCCCGAAAACAAATCGTCTAAAAACATCATCCGCCAGCTCCTCCTCGTCCCCTTTTCCAGCTGGTTCCCCTCCCCGCCCTGCCTCCTCAGGCAGCTTCTCTCCTCCTCCTCGTCGTCCTCCTCCTCCTCCTCCTCCTCCTCCTTCTCCCCCCTCCTCCCCCTCCTCCCCCTCCTCCTCCCCCTCCTCCTCCTCCTCCTCTTCCTCCTCCTCCTCCTCCTCCTCCTCCTCCTCATTCTCCATGCTCCCACAAACCGGACGGCACCAAAAGCAGGAGGAGGGAGGAAGAGGGTGAGGAGGAGGAGGAGGACGAAGAGGAGGGAAGAGGGATGAGTGAGGAGAAGGAGGAAAAAGGAGGGAGGAGGAGGAGGGAGGAGGAGGAGGAGGAGGAGGAGGAGGAGGAGGAGGAGGAAGAACGAGGAGATATGCCTCCTCGCTTCTCCATTCCTCCTCCCTCCTCCGTCCTCGACTCGCCCTCCAGCCAGGTACGCGAAGCGAAAGGCGGCACATGCTCGTTGCGCTGCCCGCTCCTGCCATGGCCTGCTTTTTTAAGGCCTGAAGGCGCTCGTTAATTCGGCCGCTGCTTCCAGTCGGTGCCACCTCGACAATTCCATCCCGTCGATCTCCCACTTCCCAGCACCGGCTGAGGCGTTCCAGAAGTGCCCCGCCCTCGAGGGACCGGGCAGCTGCCATCTCCTCCTCGGCGGACGGTGGCGGCATGACGGCGGAAGCAGAGGCGGCTCCGCCGGCGGACGCCAGCGGAAGGCCGACGGGATCTGGCGAAAGTAAAGCTTCTCTGCCAGGCGATGCCATTTGGGGGGGTCCAGGTTTCCCTGACTCCGCCAGCTCGGCCCGTCTCATGCCCTCTCCGTTTTCTCTCTTCTCCTCTCCCGCTTCTGCTGGGAGAGAAATTATTTCCATGTGATGCACTTTCTCCTCCAGTCCGAAAGGGCAGGAGCTTGCTTTAGGGCTTCACGCGCTGGAACAAGCGCCTTGCGTCTCACAAACTCGATCATCAACTTTCCCGTCGCCGTTTCTTATTCAGCTTATCTACCCTCTGTTTGTTCACAATCATTTGTCATATTCTTGCTGCTCAGGTCTTTACCAAGGACTTGCCGCAACACTATGTCAAAGGCTGATGCCGGCCCGCTTCCCCGTGGAGACGAGAAACGGGCCGCATGTCCTCGCAAGCGCTGGTGCATCATGCTTGCGTGCGTCTGTGCGCGGTCACTTTCGTGTGTTGCTCGAGCTGAACGAGAGGGGGGGATAGGGAAAGGGGGGGTACGAAATCTGCTGCGTGCAGCTGGTTTCGGCCCCGCCGCTGGGCCCATTCCTCTATGCGTGGGCGCCTCCCGGCGCCGGGAGGCGCTGGGAGAAGCAGCTGCGTGAGCTGGCTCTCTGCCCTACCCTTCTGCTATTTCCCCCCCCTTCCGTGCCCCCCGAGGCTGTGCGTGCGCGCGCGTCTGCTTCTGCATTCAGCTGTGTGACTGCGCGGGTGTGTGGCGAGCCGGCGTCCGTGCAGCTTGCGAGAAGGTTCCGAACCTTTTTGGTCGGCGGGGCGAGAGCGAACCTCTTCCGGTAAAAGCTAGGCGGGCTACGCACAGCTCTAATTGGGGAGACAGGGCACAGGTGGGCGGGACCTCAGGCGGCCAGAGGGCGGGCCGGAGAAGGTTCAGAACACGCGGAGCTCGACAAAACCCGGGCGGCATGCCCAGCACAGGCTTCGCGGACCCACGATCAAGCCATGTGCTCGCAGTTCTTTTTGCGGCTCCACCCTGGAATCAAGTCGGGCCTGTCCCTCTACAGGGGGAATGTTCAGAAATAGTCAAAACATAGTCTGGGGACGATCTGTCGATTATTTTGTTGACCATGTGGGAGTATTCGTTGACTGCATTTTTCATTTGTCGTCCAGAACCCGCCTGTACGGGGACATGCCCGACCTAACCCTGGAGTCGTCGAGCGGGTGACACTCAAAAGCCAGCTTGAAATTATCTTGCTTCGAGCGATCCCCACCGAACCTTGCTGGATGCGTCTCGGGCATTGCGGGGCCAGCGTGGCGTCGTAACGCCTGGAATGTGTGATGGGGTGATTGTGGAGCGCTTGCTGTGTAGTCATGGGATGCGCATACCACTATTGCATCATGCACTCTAGCGTGGTATGTTCGGTTCTGCCCTAGTATGTATGTTGCGTGATGTGATGTCTTCTTATGTTCTCCACGGGCTGACGTAACGTCGTGACGCCTGCCACATTTGATGCGTCACCAATTATATCATGTTCTGGCTTAGTCACTTCTGTACGATTCCAGCGCACGATTGTTATGCGATTATATCTGTTCACTGCCTTATGTCGGCGCGTATGTTGCGTTGGGTAGGACATCGTCGATCGGTCGTTGTTGCGTTCTTGAGTATTCAGTTATGTTATGTTCCTCATGCTCCATAATGTTACAATTATGTTATGCTCTGTTCCCGACGGGTCGGCGTGACCTCATGACGTCTGTCACGGTTGCTACGACACCCGGCATATCTTGCTGTAGTCTAGTAGATTCGACATTGTTCTCAAGCATATTGTGGTGTTGGGTTTTCGTTTTGAAGAGACAACGCCCCGTGCTTCTTCTCTCCTCTCCTCTCCTCTCCTCTCCTCTCCTCTCCTCTCCTCTCCTCTCCTCTCCTCTCCTCTCCTCTCCTCTCCTCTCCTCTCCTCCTCCCCTCCTCCCGCTCCTCCGTCCTCCCCACCCCCATGTCGACACACCCCTCATACGTTTTGTGGCCTCATAAAAAGGCCCCAGTGGCTGCGTTCGCATGCGGTTCCACCCCGATGTCGATACAGCCATCACACGTTCCGTGGCCACATAGAGAGCTCCACTACAGGCCCCAGTGGCTGCGTTCGCACGCAGCTCCACCCCCAATTCGGCAAACCCCCCACAGGTTTCGTGGCCCCACAGGGAGATCCGCCGAAGGCCCCAGTGGCTGCGTCCGCATGCGGTTCCACCTCTATGTCGGCACACCGCTCACACGTTTCGTGACCCCATAGGGAGCTCCACCGACGGCCCCAGTGGCTGCGTCCGCATGCTGCTTCACCCCCCAATTTCGGCACACCCCTCACACGCCACCCCCATTTCGGCACACCCCTCTCACGTTTTGTGGCCCCATAGGGAAGGAGCTCCACCGATAGCCCCAGTGGCCGCGTTCGCATGCGGTTCCACCCCCACGTCGGCACACCCCTCACACGTTTCGTGGCCCCATAGGAGCTCCACCGACGGCCCCAGCGGCTGCGTTCGCATACGGTTCCACCCCCATTTCGGCACACCCCTCTCACGCTTTGTGACCACATAGGGAGCTCCACTACAAGCCCCCAGTGGCTGCGTTCGCATGCGGTCATCTCGATTTCGGCACACCCCTCACACGTTTTGTGGCCCCATAGGGAGCTCGAAGGCCCAAGCGGCTGCGTTCGGATGCAGTTCTACCTCCATTCTGACACACCCCTCACACGTTCCGTGGCCCCATAGGGAGCTCCGCCAAAGGTCCCAGCGGCTGCGTTTGCATGCGCTTAGGGAGCCCCACCGAGGGAAATAGTCGCAACTGCGGTATTCACAGTTGCGTACGGTTGCGTTCGCCAGGATAGTGTTATGTTCAAGAGTGCGATGGTCTGTTATCGTCCCATTATTCTTGGTATATTAGTTTGCTGGCTTGTGTTCTCTTGCTTAGGTATACTCTGCAATGTTCTGCCATAGTAATATCATGCACTGCAGTATTACTTCTGCCATGGATGCTCTGCAATGCTGTTTATCATGTGCTCTAGTATTAGCATATTGGGCGCTATGGTATGGTAACTTCTCTTGCGTTGCGTTGCGTCTCTGTTGCAGACCACTACTGCTCTGAACTGACGTGTTATCCGTAAGGGCTTCGCCCCCTGCCGTTGGCCCCCTCTCTATCCGAATGGGATATATCAGAGTCACCTCGGTGCGTCTCTGCGCTGCCTTGGCGCATCTTGGAACATCATGCGGGGGCAGATCTGAAGCATCAGCGCATATTGAGACATTGGCGTTATCCTAGTGGCCTTCAGCCCATCACGCCTCCGTGCCTGGGTTATGGGTCTGAGGCCTCTTGTATATATTTGTATATGTGATGGGGTGTCGTGGCGTTTTGGGCGCCTCTTGGGTGCCTCTTGGGGCGTCGTGGGGTATCTTTTGAGCCGCGTCTTGGGTGCCTCTTGGAGCCTCTTGGGGCCTCTTGGCGGCCTCTTGGTGCCTCCCGGGGGCTTCTCGGAGCGCTTTTTAGGCCATCTTGACGCCCTCTTGGGCCGTCTTGGGGCCCTCTTGGAGGCATCTTGGGCTATCTTGGGGCGGTTTGGGAGGGCTTCTTGAGCCGTCTTGGAGCATCGGAAAGCCGAAAATGCGAGAAGGCCCACATTCTTCAAATCATATGTAACATCGACGATGTTGGCCTCTTGGGGCTCGCTCGGAAGGCCTCTTGGAGCGCTCGTGGGGCCTCTTGGGGCCCCCTCGGGCCGTCTTGGAACCATCTTCGGGCGCCTTGGAGCATTCTTGGCCTCGGCAATGCGGGTACGGCGTAATTTGCAAAGGGTTGATGGCCTCGGGGACGCGAACGTTGCGTAAGTTACAAGGGCTTGTTCCTCGGCGACGCAAGCATTGTGTAATTTGCAAGGGCTTATGGCCTCGGGAATCGAATGTGATGTAATTTACCGTGGGTGATGGCTTCCGGGACGCGAGTTTATAAAAATGTGCGAAGGCTTGTTGCCTCGGGTGCGCCAGACTTGTGCAATTTACAAAGGTTTGTGGCCACGGGGACGTCTCACGTATCTTTACGTGGCCCACGCGCACCCGGGAATTCAGAGCACGCGATCCTAGGATGGTAAATTGCCAGTTTGAGGCTCCCCCCTCGCGCAGACTTCGACAATTTACAGTAATTAGGAAGCAGATCGCAGGACTGTAGCATTGGAGATTTGCAGCTGCAACTGGCGCAGGGAGCAGCAACTTTGGCCTAAAGCCTGGTGGCCCCACAAGGGCCGCGGATAACCGAATGTGATTTGTACGCGATGGTATTCAACCTTGTTGAGTGCTTTGACGCTATAAGATGTTCCTATTCAGGTCTCTTCTGTTATGTTGTGTTCTGTTCTGGCCTGTTCTGTTATGCGACGGCTCACAAACGGATCCCCGCGGGATCCCTGGTGTAGTCCTGGGAATCTGGCGGCCGCAGTTTTTGGCGGCCTACAAAGGGATCCCCGCGGGACCACCGACGGTCCCAGAGATCTGGCGGCCGCGGTATGTGGCGGTCCATATAGGGGCCCCCGCTGAACCATTGGTGGTCCTGGGGATCTGGCGGCCGCGGTCTGCAGTCTGGCCGGGACGGGAGGTCTGTTCGTACAATCTAACAGCCCCCACTTGTTGGGTGGGGAAGATGGTATCGTCAATGACGTGCTTGTGGTTATGCTGGTGGTTGTACTGGTGGTTCTGCTGGGGGATTGTGCTGGTGATTGTGCTGGCGGTCGTGCTGGCGGTTGGGATGTTGGTTGAGCTGGTGTTGGTTGTGCTGGTATTGGTTGTGCTGTGGGATTGTGCTTGTGATTGTGCTGGCGGTCGTGCTGGTGGTTGTGCTGGCGGTTGTGCTGTTGGTTGAGTTGGTGTTGGTTGTGCTGGAGTTGGTTGTGCTGGGGGAGTGTGCTGGAGGGTCGTGCTGTTGGATCGTGCTATGGGGTTGTGCTGGGAGGCTGTGGGGAGGGGTTGTGCTGGCGGGGTCCCCGGCAGTCGTCTGGTCATGGGTTTCCCATAATTCGGAAGTCTGGGAAAATTCGAATCACTACAAAAAAGGCGGGGGTCGTAGTGATTCCAGGTTTCCCATACTTATGAAGTGTGGGAAACCTGGATTAATTACCAGTGCCGGTGGGATCCCTGGCAGTCGTCTGGCCATGCTTTTCCCATAAGTCTGAATTCTGGGAAACCCGGAACCATTGCGACATTTTTTCCGTAGTGATTCCAGGTTTCCCCTAAGTCG